CAGTGACAGGATTATATCTATACGCATACAAGGAAGTCCAGTGAATACCACTATCATTCAAATATATGCACCAACAACCAGAGCCAAGGAAAAAGAAAATAGTTAAGCATTTTGTACTGTTGATAATTCACCAATTATCTCTGGGCCTTTAAAATTATTATTATATACCATACAAACTTAAGCATCTTTGTATACATATTTTTGCCACACATGTATGAGCATACTTTGAAAATAATTTGTTCAAGCACAATTTTTGGGTTAAGGAATATGCACCTTTCATAATCTAGATTCACTTAAACATTCATTGCCATCAAGTCAGAACTGACTCAGAGATGATCTTCCAATGGGTTTCCAAAGGCTGCAGATTGTAAAAGAGGAGATTACTAATCTTTGTCTCTCAGAAGTACTCCTGGATTTGAACCACCTACCTTTGGGTTGATAGCATGACTCCCTACCGACTAGGCCACCTTGACTAAAATTCCAAAATTTCCTTCCAAGAAGGCTCAGCTCCACAAAAACTACATGAGAGAGTTCATTTTCTCATACTCTCACTCACACTAGAGATTCATTTAAAAATAACTGCTAAACTGACAAGTGAAATAATAGGTTGTATTTTCATTTTGATTTCTCTTGAACATATCCTCTAATCATAAGCTCAAAACTTACCTTCAAAATCAATGTCTGCTCGAATTTCTAAAAGACAATTCTAACTTAATTTAGATGTAACTCTCAATTTTGAGAGATATTGAAAATGTTGACTCAAAATGCGAACAACAACATTTGAGACAGGAGGGAACTGACATGTCTAAAACTGGCTTTCTGATTTTATCTTCAACCCTGCTTTAGCCACAGAGCAGCCTATTCCTGTAATTTTCAACTCCTTTATTCTGGTTGTTTGTTGTGTTGAGTACCATCGCGTCAGAGCCGAGTCAGAGCTGACTCAGAGCTCATCATTCAGTGGGTTTTCGGAGGCAGTAAATAGCATGGGAGGCAATTACCCATCTTGTCCATCTCCCGCAGAGCATCTTGTGGATTCGAATTGCACACCTTTACATTGGCAGTGAAATTCCTTGCCACTAAGCCACCAGAGTGCTCTTCTTCTTCTACGTATCTGGGTAAAAATCCTGGAATCAACCTCATCTCTGCTCCACGGCTCTGCCCCACTCCCCATAGAACCTGGTCACTTCTCATCACTTCTACTTATCCTACCCTATTCCAGACTCTATTTGTTTTTTGCACTGACAGGGCTCCCAAATCCTATATCCCATACTTAAATATATTCTCAATACAGAAGTAAAAATGGTCCTTTGAGGGGAGGAAAAGAAATAAAACAAAACACTTCATGACATCACTCTTCTGCTCAAAACCCTCAACAACTATCTCATTGTAAGTAAAAGGTAAAGTCCTTTCAGTGGTCTTCAAGAGCCTGATGATCTGGCCCCTCTGGACTCCACTGCAGACATTTGGCCTCTAAATCTGGACCACACTAAGAAAGCAATTTAAAAAAAAAAAAGAAAGAAAGCAATCTAACAGCCTATTCCTACAGATAGGACTCAGGCCTTTCCACCCTTCCCAAATGCTATTTAACAAGAGAGATACTTTCTGTCCATCTTTTCTTAAAACAAACAAACAAACAAAAAACAACAAACTAACTTTCCCCATCACTCTTTGTTTCTCTTCTCTCCTTTATTTTCTTCCAGAGCAGTTTCACTTAACTTAAGTTTCGCTGTTGAAAAGAGTCCTGAACATACCGTGGACCGCCAAGAAAACAAATAGGTCTGTTTGGAAGACTGTGAAACCAAGTTTCTCTTTAGAGGCTAGGATTTTGAAGCTCTGTCTCACATACTTTGGGCACATGACCAGGAGAGACCAGTTCTTGGAGAAGAACTTCATGCTCGGAAGGGTGGATGGACAGCGCAGGAGAGGAAGACCCCAGATGAGATGGATTGATACAGTAACTGGGGCAATAGGGGGTTGGTGTGTTGGAATTTGTGAGACTGGCTCAGAGCAGGACAGGCTTCAGAGCTGCTGTACATAGGGTTGCTATGGGTAGTAGGTGACTTAACCGCACATAACAACAACAGACCCACAATTGGCAGCAGCATCATAGACGGTGAAGAGATTGAGTTTGTTAACAGTTTTAATTTGCTTTGTTTCACAATCAACACTCTTGGCACTAGCAGCCAGAAAACTAAAAGAAGAACTGCATTAGGGAAAGTCTGCTGTCAGGGACCTCTCCAGAGTACAGAAGAGCAACGATGCCAGTCTAGAGACTAAGGTGTGCTTAATCCAGGCAATTAAGTCTTTGCAATTAAATATTATGTGTCAGAAATCTGGACAATGACTAGGGATGATAGAAGGAGAATTGATGCCTTTGAGCTGTGGTGCTGGAGAAGAATATTGAATATACTATGGACTGCTAGGAGAACAAACAAGTTCGTCCTAGGGAGGGTGAGACCAGGCTGCTCCTTGGAGGCAAAGATTCTGAAACTTCACCTAACATACTTTGTAAGGAGACCAGTCCTTGGAGAGGGACATCATACTTGGGAGGGTGGAAGGACAGTGCAGAAGAGGAAGACATAGGATGAGATGGATTGACTCAGCAATTGGGATAATGGGGGTGGGTGTGTCAGAGACAATGAAACTGCTCAGAATAGGGTAAGGTTCAGAGCTATTGTGGATAGGGTCACTATGAGTCGCAGGCAACTCGATGGCACACAACAACAACATTGCCTAAGATCTTATGGCTCATTCCTGAGTAGGCTTCTTTTGTTGTTGTTGTGTACCGTTGAGTCAGAACTGGTTTACAGTTACCCTTCAGTGGGCTACCAAAGGCAGTAAGTTGCACGGGAGGAGATTGCAGCTAGTGGATTCAAACTACGTGCCTTTGGGG